TCCATTCCTACTACCCCAGACTCTTGTTTTGGGTACGTAGAATGAACCAATAGTTTTATTTAAAAAGAAAAAAGAAAACCATTTGAAGACAAGATAACATCGAGTATGAAAACTCTTAACTAATTAGGTATTATTTAGGGAAAAGGTTAAGAAGAGACTGTCTTGTTATAAATTTGACAGTATCTGCTCTTGTCTGGATAATACCTTCGCAAGGTGTCACCCTTGGCACAACCAGTGACACCATAGTTGCGTGGCATCATGACAAAACTTTGAAATTCTTTTGCTTGTAAATCTACAAGAAAATAAATATTTTTAAGCATCAAGATTAGTCTACGGGCTGTGAGAAGCTCATTCATCATAAAACATGACAAATCTATTTTAAATTCAGTTTTTAAAATCACCTAAGCTCATTAACTTCAGGCTAAATATGTGAACATATTAATCATGTTGCTGCTACACAAATACGTTCCTTCAAGTGGTTTTCCTTTGCTCAGATAGATTGGCACGTAAACACAAAAATAGACAGAAGAGCACATAATACATGCAGATTACTGAAAAAACACCTCAAGGGCATCCGTTTGCACACAACCAAGCCACACCAGCTCTTTCCCCGAACAAACACACACCAAAACCTTTTTTTTTTTTTTTTCAGTTCGCAAAGTTTGAAGCTGACACTTTGTCACTGTCATTTTCTTTTAGAAAGTCTCTCTAAAGCCCGAATGTGTCTACAACCTCTAGGTGATGAGTATTATACAAATCTCTTGGAAAAAGTGTGACATGTCAAAGTACTCTCATCCAAATTCGTTTTTCAGCTCTTTGAACAGAAACAAAACAAGCAAAAAACAAAATTATGAAATAAAAACTTAAATACCTGAACATAGATGCATGTTTTTCTTACCACAAGTGCATGTTCCTAAACACATATGATTATATGATCATACATATAGAGTAGAAACGGACCAATGGCAAGTGCTACAGCTTTCAGGTTTACCTTTACACAATGCCAATGAGATTGCAGAATTGTTTCATCCAGAACAACATGACCATTGATGATGATTAATAGTATTCAAAGATGAAAACTTTTACTTTTATGCACCTTTTAGGACCAGACTATACTGACTTGTAAAGGTACATTTTGTTAGGGATAACTTCACAGACAGTTGACTTAGCGACATTTTCAGAAGACAATTTGTTATACTTTGTTCCTTCTTTTTTTTTTTTTTTTTTTTTTTTAAATTTACCAAAAGTGTGATGAGTACATGTCTGATAAATGTCTCCCGTCAAATTTACCTGATGACATCTGCAATCTAAATAACTGAATGGTCCTAAAGAAGTCTGACTGGTATCCTCCTGTCAGACAGACAACTACCTCTATTTCATGGTTCAAAAACTCAGGTTTCTAAGTGAAATGACAGAATGGCTCAAGGTTAAATGCTCCAGCAAGACAGTTATTAGTGTGCAGCAAGAAGGGTTGGTGGAAAAACAAAAAGTACCTCTTGATTTTTTGCCATTTCAGACTAACTGTTCTAATTAGAAAATAATTGGGGTGTGTTCTCACTGGAGTGTTCCGATTTGCAGTAGGATATTAGGCAGGAGGTGTGTCTGTCAAGGTACTTACATTCCTAAATTAAGCTCACTTAATTGAGGCGAAAGCTCAGCTCTGTTTATCTGACACATGAACTTACAGACATTATTACAGTTTGGCAGCCCAATTCAATAAAATGACATGTAAGAGTTGCCTCAGCCCACAGTGCAATAACCTCCCTTTTCTTGGAAAGGCTCGGAATTATATGACTACTATTTTCTTCTTATTTCCCTTTTGAGTTGCAGATTTAGTCTCCCTTTCTAATGACACAGCCTTTATATAAATGTCTGTATAAGTAAATGTTGATCATAAAGTCAAGATGTAATCATTTGTCACTGGAAAGAGAAAGAAAAGCTGGTGTTGCCATGCTGATTTTTGAACTAGTCTTTTTTTTTTTTTTTTTTTTTTTTATTAGGGTCAGTATGTTTGAAAAATTATTTTTAATTTTGAAATATGTCATGTAGAGAGTTATTGACTCGTTCAGGTTGACCCAATTTCTTTGCTGGGCTACGACGAAAAAGCACCGGAAGGTTGTTCGGTGGTTCAAAGTCCTCTTTTCGGATGAAAGTGAATTTTGTATTTTAGTTGGATGGGCTCCTATAGTCTGAAAGAAAAGGGCAAGCGCAGAATCTGAGCCGTTTTAAGTTCTGTTTGAAGTTACCGCATTCAGTGATGAATTGGGAAGCCATGGTACCTGCTGGTGTTGGTCTATTGTGTTTTTTAAAGTCCAAAGTCAGTGGAGCTGTCTACTGGGGAAGCGTTTGAGCACTTCATGCTTCCTTCTGCTGAGAAGCTTTATGGAGATGATTATTTAATTTTCCAGCAGCACTTGGCACCTCGTATGACACTGCCAAAAGTACCAATAGCTGCTTTTAATGAGCATGATGTCACTGTGCTTGACTAGCCAACAAACTAGACTGATGTCTCTGTGGCACAAACACTAACACAGTAATTCATGCAAACATAGCCCCAAAGAAATACTGTCTTTATTCACATTTAACAACATGGATATACACATTTTGAGTTAAATAATTTCTTTATTTCTCTCTGATCATATTCTCATCTTGTGAAAAACTGAGTTTGGGTTTTCATGAGTTATAATCTCAGTAGATCACAATTGACAAAATCACAGACACCTGATGTAGTCAGAGTAAAGGAGCAACATGATGCATAGAATGTTAAATGTTAAAGCACATGTTTCTGTTCTCTGTACATATATATATATATATATATATATCTGCTATTTAGGTATTTCATTAGTCTTTCTTGCTATAGTTGTTAGAAATGTCTATTGTTATAAAACTGTTGAAGGCATGACTGGAGGAAGCTTTTCTTCTTACTGAAGACTTTGATCTCTAGGATTTCTCTCTCAGCACCTGAAGACATTCTCAAAATTTAGAGTGACAGGAAAGTCAAAATCTTGTTACCATGAAACTTTCTAATTATTACTTTCACACTCATAAACTACAAAATCAGAACAGGAAATAATAGTTCATATGTTGGTTGTTATTTGTCATTTAGTAACTCTGTAAAAAAATAGCTAAGTTGTTTTACACACTACATTGTAAATGATAACATGTGACACAGAGCTGGATATATTTTGAAAGCAGAGAAGAAAAAAACAGAGAAGGATGTATCTTGATTTTCTTTCTAAAAAGAGTGCTTAAAGTAATATTTTGTAGAAGAAATCCCAGCCAGGCAAACTCATAAACTGGACCCATTAAATATTCAAGCCCAGTCCAAGCCCAGATATGAGGTGACTACATACAAAAAAAAGTCCTTTGATGTGAAATTATAAACTGGGTTTGTGTGCGGATACTTAGAAACATTAAATGATACTTCAGTGAGCTAATCCAAATATATGTTTTTGTTTTTTTCCTTTTCACTTTTTTCCCAAAGCTTAGTAGGGTATTCATTAATTCCTTCTGTAATTATCCCTCTACCATTGGCTCAAACGCAAGCAGATTCCCTTGAATCCCACTTCACATTATGAGTGGATTATGAGCCAGAGGCCTATAAAAAGTTCTGACTATTTAAACTTAATGAGCTTGCAGTCTGTCTGGGGTTGTTTTACAGCAATGAGAATCATTTGCATGATCAACTGACAAAGATGTTATTCGAGAAAACTTGTTTCCTGTAATGAACTTTAAAGTATGCATTCAGTGCAGAGTGCTGGCAATGTTATGCTAAAGAAACTGTGATTTCCCCCTTCCCTTCCAAAAGATGCATTTTAATGATTCTATGAACAATATACTAACAGATGGCTCAGGACGATATGCTTATAAAACCATTGTCTTAATTAAGTAGTAATTCTTTTCTCATGCACATACAAACCAAATTACACAAAAAATGTTACTATTACATTTTTAAAGATTCAAATTGTTCCTACTACCTTTGTATATTTCTAGTTGTATCTGGAGCTGTTAATATTAAACTTAAGCTCTTAGGGTAATCACACCTACGTATTACCACAATGCTTAGATTCTCTCTATATGCTCGTTGTATGCATTCCCTGAGAATGATACTACCACTACCATGTTTCACATTAAAAAGCTATGAATTTCTGTAGAGTCACCATGGCCTCCTGGAAATTTCCTCTGATTGATACTTTACTTGAATGTCCAGTTAGCTGAAATGAGTGGCCGTGTCTTGGTAGGTTTGAAGTTGTCAAAAGCTGTTTCGATATTAAGACAATAGATTGAACACCACGCAGATGGCCACTTAAAGAATTGAATATCATTCAAAAATAACTCTGCTTTGAACTATTCCACAAGGTCATTCATTGATCTTCATGATAGTGTTGGTATCTTAAAGCCACCACCAAACATAACTCATATATTGAGTGAGATGTAATTACACACATGTGAACTACAAGTTGCCCTGGATTTTTAATTTTATTTTATTTTTTTCAGTATTAAACTAGAAGGAGGTTAACAAAAATACTCTTAACACTCACCAGAACATTTATTTGTAAAAAAAACAAAAAAGAATAATGAACAATAATGGACAGTTTTGCAATGCATAATGTTGGTGGGTCATGTAAACTCCTACTGAAATACCTGCAATTGGCTGTAATGTGATAAAAAGTGAAAAAAGTTCAATCGATGTGAAAATTTTTGCAAAACATTGTATAAACTAATAAAGGGGGGATATTAGTTTGTAATTTTGGATTATTATTATTATTATTATTATTATTATTATTATTATTATCATCATTATTATTATTGTTGTTGTTGTTGTTGATGTTGTTTTGTTAGTATTATTGTTGATGTTGTTTTGTTAGTATTCTAAAGAAAAGTACTTTGCCAAATTTCTTCCACTACTTTCTTCTGGGTTTAAAAAAAATGCATCAGTGGGTCTGGGTGTAGCCTGAAAAATGTGGTATGATCCCTCTTGTGGATCCACCTCTGATGTCCCGTGTGCCGCGCCGCCAGCTGCCGCACACTCACGCAGTTCTTACGGCTGCGTCCTGCTGCCGGAGCGGCACTCTCGGATCGGAGACCGATGCAAGTCAGACTGCTAACCCGTCCAAAATAAAAGAAAAACAAATGTTATACGGTGAAATGTAAAGACATTTGGAAGCGCGGAAGTCCTCGTCTGAAGCCGCCACAGCGGGTTTGGCTTGTGGGTAACCCGCCTGCCTGCCCGCCTGCCTGCCGGCGATGCGAGCAGGACCGTCGGGGCAACCAATGCGTGTGTCGGAGGAGACGAGCAGGGCGCACTGGAAGGGAGAGCTTGGAAAGCAACTGTTTTGACTTCAAGAACAGTTTTCTTTTGATAATGGAAAGAAATGCTAGCCAACATTTTTAGTTAAAGCGAGAGAAGAGTTCGAGGGAGCCGTTTGTCTGCGAGAGAAAAAGCAGAAACAAAAAAACTTAAAACTACCGCTTTGGATGAGAGCTGCGGGGCTGGCGCTGACAGGAGATGAACGATGCACAGTAACATGGATATACTGAAGGGGATAAGCATCAGCAAGCACCGCTGGAGATGTATTCCGGTAAAGATTCAATGTCACTTATTCAATTCAACATTACTGCTCCAATGTTATCAGTTGTGTCGTGTGTGCATTTATCTACAGCAGCTACAACTTCCCCTGCCTACAAACCTGATATTTTGAACATCAGTAGAATTGAAACGGCTAATATTATTATGCTTTGTTGAGTTAAAATCACACGCCAAGCTGCACATGGAGTAACTGGTGAATATTGCCCTCATGGTCATGCTAACAGGTTAAAATCCCAGCATTTTTTGCTTCCCATCTGAATGTGTCACAATATCTCATTAGTAATAATGACAATCTCTGCCTCCCCTAATTGCTGTGCCCACCATTCAAAGCATGGAGCCTTTTTTTCCCTCTGTAACATCCACCTACCAAGTCTTTTCTCATTTAAAACCCCTCTGGCAAAACTCATTGTCGTCTCTAATCCATGGGGGATTCGATTCACTCCAGTCTCATCATCGCTTCTTTTTCTTTGATTGCAGCCAGCTTGATTGCTTCAGATTGTCCAAAGTCCTTTTGACTCCTGCAAGTAGTGACTCTCCTGAAAATCAAATGTCCATATGTCTGAGAGGGATGTCTGAGAGGGAGCTTATAATTCTGCAATTAAGTAAATTGAAAGGAAACTGGATTTCTGACTGTGACATAATGTCTTTATTATAAAAGGCTGTAAACAAACAAACAAACAAAGTTTGTATTATTTGCGCCGCACTTTGGTCAGCTGTTATGTTGTTAAGTGCTTTGGAGAAAAAAAAGCAGGTTTAGTAAGGTAAGCATGATGTCTTAGCTTGACTATGTGCTCTGCAGTGAAATTACAATTCATTTTTCTTAAACTGGGTGGAATATTCACGCTGCGACGCATCTCCAAAGACTCATTATGAATGGACAGTTTCCGATGTCACTCGCTCAGAGAGAGGCAGAGGCTGAACTTGGAGTTCATTGTGCCTCACCGACTGCAGCCTGACGGTTGAAATGATGAGGAAAGAATTTGTGCATTGAATGAGGAGTTCAATTAGCTAACTCCAAAAACAATGTGAGAAGGACTTTTTTGAGAATTTGTGTTACTTCTCTTCAAAAGTTTATGAAGACTACCATCACCATGTCTTCAAGCAGTTTGGAAGATGATGTTGGTGTCATGGCTCTCTAAGCTTGTTCTGGGTTAATTCACAATATTTGAGTGAAATGCCTGTGGATTTATTTTAAGGCAACACCCAAACCAGACTAATTCCTTGTAATGCATGCAAATCTACATACATTAACCAGCATTTGTGGATCTCTATAAGTTTGGGTCAGCCTTAGTTACCATGGCTAAAAAAAAAATGTCTTAAAGGCAACAAAGTCAATGTTATGGAGTGGCAGCTACAAAGAACTGATCTCAGTCTAAATAGAAAATATGTTAGCAAAACTGGAAAAGGTGTTTGAGCTAGACAGCTAACAAACCAGACTCAGTTATGCTAGTTCTCTTACTAGTAAAGGACTAAAATCCCTATTTTGAGACATTTCTGGAAGGATACCCAAAATATTACATTAAAGCCATACAGTTCAAAAGGCAATTCTATTGCCTTTGCTACAGTAGTTGGTCATTTGGTAATAGCTTGAAAGGAAGGATCCCTTCTTGAAAGGAAGAAGGGATGAGAGGAAAAAGTAGGGGCTGGAGGGGTGGGAGGTATGTGGGTAAATGGCCTGGGTTTCAAACTGAACCCTGGACAGCTGGATCAAGGATTATAGCTTATGTGTATTATGTCCCTGCTCTTCCTCTGAGCCATGTGTCACCCAGCAGAAAAGGTTTAGATTAATTTAATATCCGACAGTGAGAAAGAAGGTTTTGTCTTTACAGCGTATGTAACAGAAAACATTGCCGGGTGCTGATCCATGTCTTTCGGCATTTAGAACCAGCTGTGCATTCTTCTCTTAAGCGCACTAATGCTAACTTACACTTCCATTTTTCAGTTGTATTTAGATTACGTATTGTAAACTAATTAGTGTGCGAGCACTGGGTCAATAAGAAAAACAGTACCAATTGAAAACAATTAGCGCGCTCGCTGAATGAGAGCGTATGATTATCTCAGCTGAGTTTCATGACTTTGTGCTTGGTATTTCTCTTGTGTGATCTTGTTGGCAGATAAACAAACAGACAAATGGCAGTGAAAACATGCCTTGGGGAAAAAAATGCCACCACAAAAACAAAATCAATTTTGGGTTGTGGAAAGGATGGGCACCATTTGGTAGTCTTCAGGGAAATAACAGAAGAGAAAAGTGAAGAGATATACTGGCCTAAATATACTGGGGAGAAACAAATCTCCTTTTAAATAAATGAACAATAGTTAACAGTAAGTGATATTGCTTAACTTTAAAAAAAAAAAAAAATGAAACTTTGACCGATCTAGACCAAATAAACTTTATATAAGGCTTGGGCCAGTATGAGATTTTCATGGTATGATAACCGTAAAGTAAAAATCAAATTTTTCGATTGTCATACTGAAAAATGCTAAAACGAATGTATTATTTGATCTAATTAGCTATTCAAAACCAAAAGACATTTATTATTTTCTACTTCTGCACCATTACATAACATATCTATTACTAATATTGTGGCATTTTGTCTATGACATTGTATTTCTTGTAAGGGATTGAAAACTGTAAAAGGCCTCTTTCAGCCAGCTGTCCACCAGTGCACAGCAACAGGCAGTGCTGTATAACTCTATTCCTCAATCATCTGAAAATCCTGAATTCACTCCACAGCTTTCTTTGGTCTGTAATTAAAAATGACTTTGACCTGTACGAATGGTTTGGCAGAAATTGTTAGCTTTTGAAACCATAACTTTTTAAACCCTTGATTAGCCTTAAACTGGAGACCAGATCATGCACACTAGACACAGAGCAATACTCTTAGCTTTTTAGAATATATTTCAAGGGTTTTGATCCCACAAGACAACTGTTAGTCATTTGTAACACAAGACTTCTGAAATATGCCATTTGTGAACAAATATCAAGTATTTGTTCATTTGATTGCATTGCGACCTACTTGGGATATGAAAACCAGCAAGTGCTGCATCCCGAACTTGTATTTGCAAATGTTTATCTCCCTCTGTAAATCCTCTATCAGGTTTAAGTTGGGCCTTTTCGTGATACAGTTACTATTACTTCTAGTCAAAATAAATGTGTTTGTAAAATTAAAGTATTTCTTCAAGCCTCAACAAACTGAAACCTTAAAACTAAATCAGCGACCTGCATCCGGACTTCATACAATCGCGGCTTTGTTTTAATTTTTTAAGTAAATGTGTGCACTCTTGCTCTGTTCTGCAACTGCAGAGTTAAATACATGTAGTCTCAGGCATATGTCTGTGGAAACACATACCAGAGTTGACAGGTGGTTGTTATAGAGGCTACAAGTAGTGCAATTTCTGATCAGTCATATCACCATTGGCTTTAGATGGTGTCTAATAGCCTATAATTTGCTGTGCCTAAGAAGTTCTAATAATGCTTAAGGTGAGATAATTATTCCTTTATGTTGTTGACTGTAGGCTCCCTAATATGTTTGATGCCACTTTATTCTCTGCATTTGGATCACAGGTGTTCAGATTGTGACGCTTGATGCAACCGTCTATCAGCTAACTTAAATGTTCTTATTTCAGTGTTCGGAATGAGCTCTCCTGTGCATAACTTGTGAAGTCTTGTCAAAAACCTTTCAGACTGAGGTTTGAAATGTTGTGGAGGAAGCAAGAGAGCAGGAGGAGCTGCTCGATATATCTCTGCTGCTCTTGTCACAGGGGAGATTGAGAAGAGCGCTTTGGTGGCGTGCCCCTGGTGTGGGCTGGAGAAATGAAGAAGTTGGCATGTGTTATGTCATGCCTCCGGCTTGTGTGCTTACATCAAAACACTATTAGTCTCTTTGTCTTGTGCCACTACTTGAGCAAGACTTTTGGCTGAGGAATATATTGGCGCCGCCTCAGCTCCCCCGGTGCTCTGCATGCGAGGAAGGAAAACGAATATATTGACTAAGTAAACCTTTAGCTTAAGAATGTATTTGATTTCGGCACTATACAAAAACGAATTCTTGGAAGAAGGAAGCATCTTTAAAATCGGTTAACTGAATTGAAACCACAGGCAGAATTTGTGTGCAGATTTGCAATAAAAAACAAAAAAAGAAAAGCCATAGCAGACACATGTAATCTGAAGCATAATAGCCTCTTTGTTGCTGTCTTTGTGTGTTTGTCTTAAAGATTGCAACAGCTCCAATGTTTTTGGTAAATCAGAATATACAGGATTAGGAAGACGTCTTTTGTCCCTGAGACAAAATGAAAAAAAAAAAAAAAATCACTCATCATTGAAAAGGAATGTGTGGGAAAACATGATCCAGCATGCGATCAAATGAAGTTACAGGACCGTTGATTAAAGATGCAGCATTGTGTTCTGGGTTGTTTTTTTTTTTGGCTCTTGTCTTGTTTCTTGCAGAGTGTAGGAGTCTGGCCTCATTCATGATTCAAAGCTGGCGGGGTGGGTGTGATTGTGAGTGGGATGCTCATGCGTTTGTGCTCAGTGTGAACTTTATCTTCATCTGGACTCCGCAGGCAAATAGGACCTGCAGTACAAGACCTGTTAATACACTTTTTAGCCCTGACACAATTGATGGTGACTGAAAGACGGGGCGTAGTGATCAGGGTCAAATCAGCTGACAATGCTCTCAGCTTTTGTGACAGGCTGAATTAAAGTCTGTGCTTTATCAGCTCCAGCTGGTGCTGTCAGAGGAATAGAGGGCAAGAGATATCACTCTTACAACATGGGACACTTTAAAGATTTTTCTTTGTCTCCAAGAATCAGAGGCTTCTGCAGCAGCAGCAGCTTTTGCCTTTCCTCAAAAGGTGAAGAAGGATGCAATGTGTAGTTTTTATCTGCATGCTCTCAATAGTTTTCTCTATAGCAGTGATTCATTTATTCATTAAAAGTAAATTAGTAATTAATTTATAGAGTCTGTATTCATTTTTATTTCATGTTTTTGTAATCTTAACCAAACAATCTTGAGTCTGCTCTGCCTCTAGTGAGGTGTTTTTTTAAAGTGCCTTGCAAAACGATTGATATTTTCTGTATTTTTTTCTCATTTTATGACGTTATGACCACAATCTGGATTTCATTTTAGGATGAGTTGGAAATGGGGTTAATTATTTAAAAATATATATCTTAAGCATGTGAACATGTCATGTAACATTCCATTATGTACCAAGTTATGGCTGGTAAACAAAACTGAAATGCCTGACGACAAGAACTTGAATCAAAGAAGCTGCCACTTTACAATGCTGGTCATTGGTAAAATGATCAGTCTCGCACTATACTGTCAAAATATGGATGTAAATTTGTTGCTTTTAAAAGGAAAATACATGAAACAAAAACATGTAACTACTGAGAAGTATATTTTAAAACTTAAATTGAGTGACTTAAGCTGTGGAAACTCTCATGGAAACATTATCCAACAATTCACCATAAAAAAGAAAAATCTTTTTTCTTCAGATGTAATTTACAAGCATAATTTGGGTTTTCCCCAGTTGTCTAAAACCATGCTAATCTTAGTAGTATGCAAATGGCTAATAACAACGTGTCCCTCTAATTATTCTTGGACCTAGAAAATAGCAAGAACACTGATAATCCCAACTGGTGTAAGACATAAAAATTTGATCTGATTGAATCTCACATGGTGAATTCAGTGCATGCAAATACTGTGCATCATATCCATTTGTGGATAGGCAGATTTTTTAATTTATTTATTTATTTTTTTTGAACGTCACATTTAAATGCAGCATAGTTTGTGCAGTCTGGGAGGAAACAGCCGAGCCTGGACTGCCACTTTAGCCCGACTGATATCCCATTTCTCAAGTTTGGACTATTCCAGCGACATGAAAGCGGTTGGAACTTGAAAGGCAAAGTTTGAAAGCCTTCCCTATCATTAACTTTCATCTCACACGGCAAACAAATGGGAGAATCAGCCTGCGATGAAAGTGAGCCATCGGTCTTGTCACGAGCACTTAGGGCCACGGGGGTAATTAATTTGTATTGAATAGGAAGTCAAATACTGATGCGGACACTCCCAGACTCCCCTATCATCTTAGTGCTGAGCTTCCTTGGATCAAAAGGATTTCTTTCTCTTCCCCCACCCGCCTGCCAGCCCCTGCAGCCTGATGTCTTGTCTCAGGACTTGCTGAATAATAGAGATCAAGGGATTGCTGTCAGAGGCCAGCAAATATGAATGAAGTGTCATGGCAGTTCACATATTCCGGCAGAGTTCACTTGTTTTGGTGTCAAGAGTGGATAAATTAATATTAGATGACCAAACGGTAAAACATTTACATCCCTGACAAAACAATTACTATAGCAGACCCTGAAGACGCGGCTTTTATATACGTGTGTGTGCAACAAATCACAGAGACAGCTCAATGCGCAAACCGACGTGACACCTACACATCTACATTACCAGAGGAAATGCATTTCACTTAATTTCTACACATATAAATATCAGGCATCATTAAAAAAATGCATATGTTTGATGTTACAAATAAAGCTTTGCTAAATTTCCATATATATATATATATATATATATATATATATATATATATTTTCCTCTTAAATGCATTTTGCTAAGTAATTTATTCAGCGCGTTTCACAATGATTCCCTCAAAGGCGGAGAACTCCAAAAATATCCAGGAGCAGTAGAGGGGGATTTTAAGTCTTTCTGTTTTATTATTAAAAGCCAACAGTTACTCATGACATTTGCATCCTAATAACTGCAAGATAAGTTGGAACTAAGTTGGCACTCTAAACCTAATCTCCATAATGAGATTTATAGGCGAAAAAAAAAATTTTTTTTGCTACTTTTAATGCTACAGGCAGGAAAGAGGGGTAGTGTGTGCAAATGTGTCAAGGGAGGGTGTTGATATACTCACATAGGCATCAGTATGCTCTGTCATGCCTTTCAGTGGTGCAAAGATAGGAGGCGTGCAGATAACTAGGAAAGTATGAAGGTATAATCTTTCAGTTGTCCCCTGTTTCTCTCTTTTTTCCGACCCTGGCCTCTTGATAGACTATGCTGTGCGTTCCTGTTAATTCCTTCTTCTCATTCATTTCACTGTGCTGGTGGTGTGTGTTCAGAGAAAGCTCCATCATCAGTCAGTTAAATGTACCAAGGAGAGCCGGTTTGAACAAAGGCAATTCCTAATTTCCTCCCATCGCGCTTTCTCTCTTTTATAATCAGCTTCCCATAACCAAACATTTGTCTGCATCTTTACCAGGGAGAGAATCTTGGCTATCAACATGTTGGAAATATTTAGATAAATGCAACCAGATCCCTGCTTATCACTCAGCGGGGTAGGAGCGGCTCTCATTACTTAATAACATTTTTGTTTGGGGAGGGGGCTGTGTTCGAGGTAAAGCCGAGATGAATTACAGCAAGGTCCTTGAGAGGAAAAAAAATAAATAAAAAAATCAATTGGAAGTCTTCAAGGGAGACTAGAAAATGGTTTTGGTCGACAAACAGTCAGCTCTTTATATCAAAAATACATAATCCGGCTGAGACGGATTCAAGGAGCCGGCGCAGTGCTTTATTACATGCTAGGGTTGTGTCTGACAGCCGGGGCTGACTTTTGTTTTGTCTCAGCAGGTTGACGCTAAAGAAGGCAGTCCCTTTATGCTTCTATTGAAGGCAGAATATCTGTTCTGCAATATTAAACTTACGTAAGCAAACTTCGCAGCCAGCGCTACGAAATATCGCATTAGGTGGCTGCAAATATAACATCTTATTACTCGCAAAGTTTTCACGATCCGCTTCACGTTCGTCTTGTTTCAAGGAATTCACGTTGCTGTCCTTGTTGATGAGGCCGCTGGTTGTGACTCACTAATACTTCCCTGCTCCTTTTCTTTGTGTCTGACAGATGAACAGTGAACATTACTGGGGAGGACAAAGCCAGAATTCTATGCACATGTGATTGGATCTGAGCTTGCTCTGACCTGAGACCATTAAAATGGAGTTGCTATGGAAACTCATAGTGCTGCTGTCATTGGTGGAGTATCTAACAGGTAAGCCTCCCAAGCACACTATTTGTCCTGTTGTTTGTTTTGTGGACGCTTGCAGAACCTCGGGATAGAAAATCTTCACATTTTGTCACATTACAACCACAAACTTTAATGAACTCTCTTAGACCATATGCATATATTAAGTGACTTATGAAGGTAGTTTATTGCAATGGATTTTATTTAGGGGCATGGGAGTAAAGGAACTACAGTATCAATTTTCAGATTTTTATTTATAAACATTTTGAAAACGAGATAAATAATTTTCCTTCCACTTCACAGTTATGTTCCACTTTCTCTGTTGGTCAGCTATATCGAAAATTAAGAGGTGGGAATTCTTTTGCAAGGCAATGCACCTTTTCTTGTTAAATCCTACGGGTTTGAAATTTATATAAAAGAAGAAATATTTGATCTCTACACACACAAAAAAAACAGAGATGAAAGCAACTATTAAAGACTTTGAAAAAGGTTAACACCCTTAAAGTGTGAGGCTTGGGTGGGGGCAGGAGGGGCTCTCCTTTTTAGAAGGTCAGTTCTGCTGAATCGCAAAGCTGCCCAGTCTCCGTATCTGAGAGACAACCACCATGCAGCAGTGGACTGTGCAGCCATTAATTCTAAAGAGCGCCTCAATTGTTTTCCTAATTGAGACTGTACTGGTCGTGGTACAGAAATCTTGTCATTGATCTGGGTTTTAATGAGAGACCTAATTTTCCTCCCTTTAGAAGCTGTTCGGGGTCAAACATGAGTTCTCCTCAGACCGCCAGCTCCTGGAGTTGAGAACGAGATGAATAAGAGCTTTACTGCATGAGCAAAGTGCCTTGAAAGAAAGACTTATCTTTTCATGTTGCCTCGTTCAAAATCGGCGACTCCTCCTCGTGGCTGGGACCGAAAAAATAATTACTCTGGGTGCATGTGAGAGCTGGTGACTGTGGCTGGCTTTGTATCCGTTCTTTTTCCTTAAAGCGGCACCTAAATCTGCATATGTGGCAATTAGCACAGCTTATCGCTAAATCTGAACACATCACTAGATGTCTGATGAGGCTTTCCTCTGGAAATTGCTGCCTGCTGGATTATGATCTGCACTACAATTCGAGATCAGCGAGTTTTATCCAGCTTAGCGATTATTTTAACTACGCAGACGCTGGACGTTGATCAAAACATACCATAAACCTGCCTGTTTTTGTTTCAGAAAAAAAAAAAGAACTGCTTCCATAAGGCTATTCACACCTACTTTCTGTGTTAGGCCACAAAATCTAATCTTGCAGTCATTAGTGGCACAAATCAATGCCGTGGTTATCAATTTACAGCAATTTGGTGCTTGACAGTGGAACAGAGGTTAAATTGTTTCTGCAAAGCATTGTGCTGCCCAGTCCTTGTCTCGCTCTTGAGGCTGGTGCTCAGCAGAAACACATAGTTACTGAGCATTAATATTCAGTGTGGGCTTCCATTACATGTGCTCTACTTACAAGGAAGTATGTCGCAGTATAACCCTAGACGTCTGAAGCCTCTGTCTGCAGCAGGAGGGGAAAAAAAAAAATGATGAAACACGTCAAATGTTCTACCGTGTGCATTTTGCGAAGGGCCACCGTGTCAGGTTTTTTAACTTGGCTTTAGGTTATTTATCCGCAGACTGAGGTGTTGTTCTTTTTCTTTCTTTCTTTCTTTTTTTTTTTTACAGACAGTGGGCATTGGCTGTGTGTGTGGGCATTCGAGTTGAGGGGAAACCATTCCCAAAGCGAGTTCATGTAAAGTTAACCACCTCTTCTCTAATTCCTCTCTGAGGGTCTGAACTGCCTGAGGCAGGGGTGTCTACTACGTGTGTGAATGATTGAGTGGAGCAAGATGGCACTGGGGCAAAGGGGAGGATGCTGTTTGTAGCCACAGATGCTGCATCACTAACTTGCAGAGAGGCTGCTTTCTTCTAGCCCTGAATCGGTTGTTTGGATTTGGAAAAATAATACACTAATCTGCAAATGTCTATGTCAAAGAAATTATGTATGAAAATGTGAGATTAGTTCGTGGCACCTTACAGAAGTATTTATAGCATTTGCAGTTTCTGACCACTTATAAAACCTTATTGTTTGGGCTTTGTTGTGGTTTTATATGGTAGAGCAACACAAAGTTCTGTGCAACTGTGAAGTGGGGGGAAATCGATACAAGGCTCTAAAAAAAACATTTTGCAAATAAAAAACTACAAAGCTTTTTATTCTTTGGTCAATACGGTACAAATAGCTTTTGCTGCACGTCTTTAGGAGCATAGCTGTGAAATATTAGAGCATTTTTCCTTGCAAAGCAGCTGATGTCAGTGAGAGTGGATGGACAGCAACATTGATTTTCAACTTATGCCATAGATTCTCAATTAGATTTAAGACATTTGGACTTTGCCAAAACGTCCATAATGCATAACAGTGGTCTGGTCAACAAATTCTCTACCTGAACTCTGCAGCGGCTTCACTTTTTCTGTGGGCCTCTTGGCTGCTTTTCTGATTAATGATAGTCATATCTTGGTAGCTCTGAAATTGTACTTTCCATCTCCAGAACATGGATTATTGATTTTATATCCTAACATTGATTGAAGGTTTTCCAAAATTGGATCCCCGACCTCTCTGGTGTTGCTTTGTCTCCGTGATGGTCCTTATTTACTGTGTTTTTCAACCGACCCCAGAGGTCTTTAAAAAAACAGCTGTATTAACGACGAGATGAAATAACACACCTGGACAATATTTTCGCAGCAGATTTCATCGGTGTAAAAATGGCGCAAGAATGCCAACTTTTGGATTCAGTTTGTGTTTGTAAGTTCAGGCGGTGTGAATAATTTTGCAAGTTTGAATTGTCATTTGAGTAACTCCTTATAGCAGTGTAGATGTCAGGTATCTGATCTTAGGCATGGAGCAAAGTCTGTAAAAGAAATACAGCACATTGTATCCAACCTTCTTGTAATGAAAGACATTGATTTAAATGCTGTTTTCTAAAGGCTCAGTGAATTTTCCGAGCGGTTGGGTAAAATAATTGGAAGAAATCACATAAGGGTACAATTTTGGCTGGCAAAATTGGAAACAAAAACATAAACATATTACCCAGAATTGCAGCTGAGGCTCTTAACAGCAATCAAAAGTTTTCTTCTCTCTGAATAAATAACGGTGGGAAAAAAAAGAGAAAAAAGTTCACATTTGCTGAAATGGGTATAATTCAATTACGCTGTGTTTTGATGCGAGGAAACAAAAATCTTAAGAACACGAAACCTGAGAAGTTGACTGATATAATTAGATGATTTTATGAAACTACTCATATGTGATAGGGTGATTTTTTTTTTTTTTTTGGTTAGTCAGAGAACAAAGGGAATCACAGCTCACAGAGCTCAGGTGTTTTGAGATATTATCCTACCTTCCATGAAAATGAAAACAACAACTCATTTCTATGATTGAAAACCTTTCGGTGTTTTGGTATTGCATATATGTCACTTATTTCAGTGGAATGACAATATTATTGGAAATCCCTGATTAAAATTAAATAAACTCACACTCCAATATCACTCCAATATCATTTAGAGACAAAAAGTGTGTCGAGTTAGGAGTGATTCCAGCCAAGTAGAAGAGTAAAACTTGCCTGCGCTGTAGATATGGACCCCATCCAATCAAACATTAGTATCAGTGTCTATTCTCGGATCAGATATTGGGCTTAAGCCATCTACAGCGACTGAGAAGAGAGAGCTGACTGTGATTACGTTCTGGACCTCATTGCATTCAAGGTTCCTCTTTCTCAGTCCATTTTGTGAATTGATATTTAACGTGAACACATGCACGGCAAGTCCACTTGACCCTTCGTTATCGATCATATAAGTAGACATGAATCTACTGCAAGAACTGCAGCTTCGTAACTTACAGTGCCAGCGTTATTCATTCATTCTTAGCATATGCAACTGTGGATCTTCTGGAGGAGGCAGATCTTGATTTTCACTCCGAAATTTCCAAAACACTGCGAACATTTTCAAATCCAGCATGTTCCATGTCAAGGTTGAGACCGTAAAAGCATAAAATAGATAAAACGGAACAAAATGCTGTACTCTGTTCACCCTTACTGTTATCTGTCTAACTTTTTCTCTCCCACACAGTGGGTACAGTGCTTGTGAAAGCTGCTCACTCTTTTTCTTTTCTTGCTTTTACAGATCAGTCATGATCAATAAAATGTGGCTTTTTGAGTAAAAAAAAAATGCAAATAAATCCTCTTTAATGTCACAATAAAAACTGTTTTATGCAAAATGATGACAATTACTTAAAAATATGAAACACAAAATACGTGATTAACAAACTTTTCTGCCACTTCAAGTCGGTATTTAGTAGATGCACCCTTGGCTGCAATCACAGCGTGGATCTGTGTAGATAGATCTCAGATAGACTTGCACATCTAGACGCTACAATTTACCAGCATTATTTCTTGCAAAACTGTTCAAGTTTTGTCAGGTTGTGTGGTTGTGCTCCGGATCATTCTCTTTGTTGCCTTGTAACCGTTTCTGTGCAGCTTCAGCTGGATGCTTCAGGTCGTTGTCTTGCTTGAAGCCATAGTTCCCTTGCAGATGGAAACAAACTGTCCTCCAGGATTCCCCCCCCCCCTATATTTGCAGCTTTCATTTTACTTTCTTCCTTCATAAGCCTTCCAGGGCCTGCTGGCATCCCCACAGCATGATGCTGACACCACCATGCTTCTCAGCAGGGATGGTGTGTTTGTGGCGATGTTCAACTGTCTGCCAAACATAGCAACATGTCTGAAGGCTAAAAACCTTCATTTTTTTCTTGTCATATGAAATAACTTTTTTTTTTTTACACTTGATCATGGAACCTTTCGGCAAACTCTAGTCAAGGTTTTATTTGAGGTTTCTTCCACCAGTGGCTTTCTCATTGCCACTTTCCCATAAAACTTTTACAGGTGAAGAACCTGGGCAACAATTGTCTGCAGAGTTTCTCTCATCTCGGCTGCTGAAGCCTGTAACTCCTTCAGTGTGGTCAGAG